TCATACCCAGGATGTGCTCATCTCCCTGATATAAAGTCGCTTTATTATTAACATCCTGTCCCTATCTGTTTGTTAATCCCGCTTATACAATTAATAGCCATATTATTCTGGCATGGTAGAATAATTGTGGTTCTATCATTAGTTGCCTTATATTATTTAGTATCAGAGCTAAGACTTTGTCCCACCTTGCTGCCAAGGTCTTTGTTTAAGGGAAAAAAGAAATGCAAACCTAGCTGCCAGCACCACTTTATCCTCCAACCTTCTTCACCATTGAGCCACCACTATTACATAAGTAGGAACAGAGACCTCCAACTGGCCGCCTGTAGAACAGTGCACTGCTGCCAAAAGCTATCGAATGTTATGTACTGTGCAGTCCCACAGCAGCTGCTCCCAGTTGTTGTGAGTTCCAACCCCTTGAGCATTGTTCTAGCCCATAGCTGGAAAAGCAGCTGCCAATCTCTCTCTTGTCAGAAGCTTAGTCCTCCATGGTAGACAGAAACTGTGCATGAGCTTGATTCTTGCAAGTCAAATGAACCTAGGTGAGCTACTAAGCATCTGACTTCAGCTGACTTAATTGAACTGGCTGGAGCTTACTTACTATATTTAACTGAGCCAAGTCGAGCTGAGCTACCTAAGCTGAGACAATCTGCTTGAAGTGAATCAAGCCAGCTAAGTCGAACTGCGCCCAAGTTTGAGCCAATCTAAGAATATTTATTGCAAGAGACTAGAAATTTTGGAATTTCTTGATGAGGTACTAAATTTCTGCTGATTCTTGATTTTTATCAATTGGTTAGTAACAAGTTAATTTGCTAGTTCATATTTTACCACCTGTTAGGCATTTTGTGACCACTTGCTAGGAGTTACCAAAAGAATCCACATTCTCCTTCCAACAATGGTAAACTGGATCCTCGTATTTCCAACAATGCTAGATGCTCTAGAGGATTATTTTGAGTGGTGTGATATGTCTGACATAGAGGATGTTAGATTTACCACATTGAACTTGGTAAGATCTACTAGAAAGTATTGGCAATTAATCCAGCAAAACTTAAGAGCATCTAAGAGATCTACCTATCACACAATGGGAGCTTATGAATAAGGGTGGCAAAAAAACCCATGGCCCGTAAGATCTGAATCAAACCACCAAAACTGTTCTAGGTTTTTTGGGAAAATTTTCTCAAAAAAACCCTGAAGCAGGTCAGATGGAGCAGTTTTCTTGTTATTCCATGCTGAGATGGATCAGATTCAGGTTTAGGGTTAAAAAACTTGCCCGAACTTGACATGGTTACATATATAATACATAAGATGTTATATGTTTTAAAATTTCATCAATGTTACAAAATTTAAGTACCTAAATTAGAAAATCAAAACCCTAATACATTCACTACTCACATCATCTTCTTCCTCTCTCCACCGCCCATCTTCATCATCTTCATGGAATCATAAATCACACAGCTGCCGCCTACTGCCAATTTTATTCTTCCCACAACCACTGCCATGGCCGTCCTCCCCACCCAATAATGCAGTGATCGAACCATTGTTGTGGATTTCAGCGGAGGAGAGAGATCAAGTAAGTTGGCTATAAGTAAAAGGAAGACTTAAAATGCTGCGGTTTGTAAATCAAGTTTGGGCATTTGTTTGTTTATGATATTGGTTTCTACAAAGAGTCTGAAATAAGGGCGCAACTGCTTATGAATCAAACATATTGATATTTTCCCATTGATTTAAGTGCCAAATTGTTCTAAACCTTATTGTTGTGCTACATCAAATATACGAGTGATTCAACATTGTTAAGAATACTGCTTATGAATCAAACAAGCTGATAGTCTCTTGTTTATTTAATTGCCAAATATCTCTCTGATTCTTTTTGCTGTTAATCCATGTGCTTCTAGATTGAATCTTTTTCCTTCTCTTCAACATCAACCACCACTAGGGAATGCATCACATCACCACTGCCATCAACTTAGAGAGTCTAACCAACACCTCTACAAAATCTTAGCTTCCATCATCTTCAAAAATCGCCACACTCTATGCTTGAAGATTTAACTATTTTCACCTCCCCAGAACTTGCCTTCTCCACTCATGTCAATGATCACCGACCTTCGAACTGGGCAAAAATTAAAAACCACAAATGGATTTTACTTAGAGACTGATGTTAGATTGGTTCAAACCGATTTGACTAATCTGCTTTCCCACCTCCAGATTGGTTTTTGTTCACCATATATCCATTCCTAAAGCTTTTCAGCATCTTCTTTCCCCTTTTGAGGTTCGTTTGATCAAACTAGTTTCATTTGATCAAATTAATTTCAATTAGAGTTATTTGGTTAAGAATGTACGCTAATAACGGGCTTGGTTAAAATCTTCTTTCCCCTTTTGATGTTCGTTTGATCAAACTTACTGTTAATTCTTTTTATAATCATCTGGTTGGAAGAGATGTGGAATGGGTAGTCCGGTGTCCTGCTAACTGAATTTGCAAAGTGAAGGCTCTTCCAATAATTGTTTTTTTTTTTGCTTGGGAAGCGGGAAGAGAATGTATTTTGACCATTGATAAATTGATGAGAAGGGGTAGACTAATGGTGAACAGTTGTTATTTATGCAGGAGAGCGGCAAAGTCTCGTAATCATATTCTCCTCTAGTGCCCGGTGGTGTACGATCTTTGGATGATAGTTTATGGTTTGTTAGGATAAACTAGGTTATGGCGGGATCAGCTAAGGAGAAAATTTGGGCTCGGGAGAGGATATGTAAAAAGAAAAATTTATAAAGCTTATTCCTTTGACTATTTTTTGGGTGATTTCAATAGAAAAAAATAGTAGAGTTTTTAAGGGGATAGGAGAAATGTCTAAAATTAGGGATAGGAAGATACATTATTTTACCTTTTTGATTTTGGATCATAACACTTGCAGGTTGGAGGATTTTGGAAATGTCGTACATGTACTAACAGATTTGTGAATACCTTGTAAATGGATTTATCCCATTGTTGCCTTTGTTTTAATATACTTATTATACTTTTTTTTTCAGAAAAAAAAAATTGCCTTGGTGAAGAGAATGATTCCACTACCGGTAAGTTTGTGGTGCCCTTTGATAAAGGTCTCAAACAAAGGCTTACAACCCTCCTAATTTCATCAATGAACTTCTCTGTGTTTTCTTTTTTTCTTTTTTTGGAAAAAAGGATGGGAAGAGAGACTAGCATAGCCAACTTTCCTTGGGTATGATCATAGGGGTTTCCACTCTCTCAGAAATGTCTGGTTTAACCCACAACTATTACTATTAGGATGAACCCATTACAGGAACCCCAGTAAGATGGTAAGTAGTGCCCTTACCACTGAGGCTAACATTATGGTTGTCAACTTCTTCATCTTCTTGACCAAGCTAAGTACTGGGTCTAAGAGGTATGTGAAGGACCATCCAAGTCACTACTGGATGCACTTTTCCCACTGTTAAAGGCACTGGTCTATAACCAACTTCTTAAGAGAAATACTAATGTGAAACTTCAACTTGCTTATTAAATCTGTCTAACTAGAATAACTGCACCGGATATCCTTAAAATGAGGTAAATAAGGTTTAGCTAATTGTTTCTGCATTTAAATGTCAGGATGAGGCAATCACAATGTATAAATGAAATATAATTCTTGAAAGGTTGCAAAGCATTAATTATATCTAGTGATATCGGGATCTTAATAGTAGAAATGTTCATGCACTTATTGAAATCTAGGTGGCTTCAACGAAGGACTACTCTCATATATGGAGGCAATAATGACTATGCCTTTGAAAGAAAGTGACTACATCTCTCTAGAGTTCCTCTCCGCTCTTCAAAATGTTAGAAGAGACATAAGTTGGCAAAAAAAGTTTTTATAAGTTGTGTCAGTAAGCTTAAACCAAATTTTATGCAAGCACAAAATATTTGGGCATTCCCTTGCAAGACTATAATGATGAAATTATTACCACTGTACATGCTAAGAGATATATCTTCCTATGACACAAGATAATGTCATTATATTAACCATCCAAACAATAAGAGTAAGTTCATATACAACTTCATTGACGAAGTAATTGAGTTATGTAGATGATAACATGACCTAAATTGAAGATGATTATACCCCAATTGGTTAGAATGCCATGAAGCAAAAGGAGGCAACGCTAAAAAATTATGTTTACACCTACCAATAGCAACAACTAACGCTTGTTGATTACGGGCATCCTTGTGTCTAATTGGTTTGTGACTTTTGGTTCTTATTTGTTTAGAAGTCTTATTATGTTATTTTTTTAGGTCGAATATTCTACTCATACTAGTTTTTCTAGAGACTCTACAAATATACAGGATTTGAACATTGCTAGTTGATGTAAGCCAAGATAGCATGGAGGAGGAATCCCATGGCATGGAGGATTTCGCAAGCTATAAGAAACAAGCGGCATGGGGGATTCCTGCAGGCTAGAGGAAACTCGCAACATGAAGGATTCATGCGGAATTGGCCCAAAGACACACACACATGAAGCCCAATGGCAACCTCAAAG